ACAAACTGAACGATCGCAATCAAGTGCTGGTATGGACGAGTTATCTTTAAGAAATTTGTCATGGCTCATTGCCTAAAACTATGATCCAATCTCCGAAGTGATTGTTCACATCGAGTCGCTATAGTTCTTGTAAGGCTGCTTTTGGATTTGTGAAGGGGTTTGTAACTTGGGTGCAACCGAAATTAACGCTTTTTCTTGTTTCACTGTTGCTTACGTATACAAGGGAGAAAACGAGCAGAAAAGTTTTTCAGGTTTTAGACAAGTTTCTGTGCTGTACACTTCTTTTAAATGGCCATGGAGTGATTGTCGGATTTTATACGAAAAAAGTTTTTAAATCCTCTGCTGAGTTAAAAATCTTTCATGAGAAGGTCACTTTCTGTAATTTTAATTATTTTCTCGGTTTAGTTTAAGAACAATGCTACAAACTGGTGCCCYTAGGAGGTTTAAATCTACGATATTAGGGCCAATAACCGTGCGAATTGGCGCTGAGCGCTCCAAACACTCGACTCTACTACGAAATACGCAAACTATTGCGTATGGTTGCCCAACAGTTATTATATTATTTGTTGAAATATCTATAACTTTATCGATCCGTTATGAAAAAAGAACAAAAATAACACGTTTTATGTGTTCTAATTAAAGCCCACGCAATATGAAAAACAGACTTATACGCCACTATCAATAGTAGTATTTACATTTTATATTTATATTTATATTTATATTTAATCACGAAAAGTTATTACATTGCTTGTTACGGTTGCCTGGCGTCGGCTTCCGTTGCTCAACGTTCAAACGCTTTACACGTGAATGTGTACGTGCGTCGCGCGTAAAAGTATGGATTTCACGTGATTCGCTTGCGAAACTCTTTGAAAAGCCACAGTGCGTTGCGCGTATGTGCGCGTGTACGAAGCRAGCTTGTTGCTGATAAGCTTTGCTACAATRTATGGAGTTAGCGGCGATCTTACAATGCCTCTTTGCAGCAACCAGGAGCATAACAATAATATGAAATTGTAGTAATTAGTTTATAAACACAACTGACAGCGTCTGCAGCCGTTGTAAATATGTACGAATGGATGTATACCGCGGGTAAACATGAACGCCGCCGATAGCGTCACAATCAACGCAACACAATCAGTTCCACCCATTGATATCTGTAATATAAAGCGCACGTCAGCAAGTGGACTAACTGCGTCGCGAATTGTCTGAGAAATTATT